ATGATGGTGGTGATGATGATGGTGATGATGTTGGTGGTGGTGGTAGATGATAGTGATAATAATGGTGGTTATGTTGATGATGATAATGGTGGTGGCGGTAGATGATAGTGATAATAATGGTGGTTATGTTGATGATGATAATGGTGGTGGTGGTAATGATGGTGAGGTGATGATAATAGTGGTGTTTATAATGATGGTGGTGGAAGTGGTGCTAATAATGGTGATAGTGTGATGATAGTGGTGATTATGGTGGTGGTAGTGGCGCTAGTAATAGTGATAGTGTGATGATAGTGGTGATGATGGTGGTGGACGTGGCGCTAGTAATAGTGTGATGATAGTGGTGATTATGGTGGTGGTAGTTGCGGTTGTGTAGGTGATCGATGATAAAAGTGGTGGCTATGCTGATGTTGATGATTAAGCAATTGAGTGTGTTAAACAAAAAGATGCAACAAAGCTCATGGTTGCTATTACCTAAGCTCTTACTAGTGCAATTAGGACTGATATTACCTTGAAAGTAAATTTCTCATGTAAATCTCCTCAGCAAACAATAACTGATGCATTGTCTGTTTATAAGTGTCCTGTCTGATCGTCCCGTCAAGCATTTGAACCGATACAATCTTTTCTGTATCTTCAGGCAAAGAGTAAGTCGACATCAACTTCTTTTTCGCTCGATGGGGTTTACATCTTATGATTTCTGCATCTCTGTGGTCCCATGGATGAATTTCGAGACCAATAGCTTGTCTTGCTTCGAGGAGTGTTTGTAAGATTTTACTGCTGTCAAAATCGATATTGAACTCTTTAATCAGCAATCCCTTCGTCCCAAAGTCGAACGAAATACGCTGGATAAAACTACCAGTTACTGAACTCGAAGCTTGAAAAGTCACTTCTACTCCAAAATCTACCGTTTTTGTATTCAAATCCAATTGTATTGATGGACGGTGATAATGGTCGTCCTTTAATGGAGTGTCAAGGATTAGAAGAACATCGTCGTTGCTCTTACCGAATGCAACAACTTGTATCCTTGAAATATAGAAATGATGACGATGATACTGTAGGTAAACACCTGGAATAGTGTGCACTTGGTCTACCTAGAATATATACACAGATATATTAATATATATTAATGGTACTTGTTGTCCCATCATCGCGTTAGGCCGTCACCGTGATCAAGCGGAAAGCGAAGGGGGATCGAGAGAAGGACAACCTCCATTCTCCTTTAATTGGTCAGCTTTCTTTTTCCCCGAAAGATAATTCTAGATTCTTTATTTGTTAGCTTTTCTTTGGATTACCGAATGCTTATTTTGTACTTTTAATTTTGGCGCCAAAATTTCACTTATTCATATAATTGGGATTCCTGTGGGGGGGACTCTAACTGAAACGCGTGCGCACGTTTATTGGCGGGAAAATGGTACATTGTCCCCCTACATGGTGAAGTCAATGGCGTAATGTCATATGGAATAGATACCTTTAATCGAGCACGAAATTCCCAGGTATAGTTATAATCACAGTTCTCCTTGGCGAGCTGTACATGAGGATTTTCTGGATTAACGAATAACTCCACTCCTGGAATGGATTCTCTAAGCTAAATCAAGATACTTGTATTACTGAACTGATGTAACAAATATATATTAACAATTCATAGTCATCCGTCAATAACCCTTTTAATTCCCAGGCGGAGAGTAAACCCGCACTATTCCTAACCTACAGTAAAAATGGGGGACATAAAAGAACCTGTTGAATTATTCGTATAAGAGTAGGGGATTGTCTCCTGGTTCAACAGCCTATCCCAATCTGGAGGCATTAATACTAACTTACTAACAAATCACTCATGATTGTAAGCTGCACGGCTGCTACTAGAGCATAAATACGCTGGTCATGATTGTGAATTTGTGAAGCGCATTGAGACCATGTAAAATGAGCCCCGTTATTATCATCATCATCATCATCATCATCATCATCATCATCATCATCATCATTATTATTATACAAGAACGGAAATGTGAAACTGAACGGGGTGAAATACTTACCTTCAGCTCATGATGTTTGATATCCTTTACAGGACCAGTCGGACCAAGTGCGTTTTGAATTGCTTGCATTATCATATTTTCTGAGTCCTCGAAGCATTCATTTGCAGACTGAGTACTTCTGTTGTCGTTGCTGTTGCTGCTGCTGCTATTGTTGTCGTTGCTGCTGTTGTTGTTGCTACTGCTGTTGTTGTCGTTGCTGCTGCTGCTGTCGCTACTGCTGTTGTTATTGCTGCTACTTGGCTGCGATGTATGCACCATACAGCTCGGATTGTTTGTATTTCCTGACTTAAGCTTTTGGTTTGCCAAGTATTTTTCTGGAGAAGGTAGATCTTAGAAAATGAACAAAGCACTGATTTTAGCTCGAGTAAATTTTATCATGTCACTACAGTTTTGATAAAATTGCACTGGCTTCCTGTCCGTTTCCGAATTATATTCAAGATATTGCTCATTGTGTACAAGTGCTTGCATGATATGGCTCCCCCATACCTTGGCTGATGCTATCAAATCGAGAAAAACTTTGCGCACTCTCAGATCTACAACCATGGAGTATCTAGAAGAACAAAGATCTCGTCTGGTGATCTATGGTGACAGATCTTTCTACTGTGGAATGACCTCCCACTTTTCATATTAGGAAAAGTTCTTCAATCCAATCATTCAAGAATGAACTGAAAACTCATTTGTTCAAGAAYTTTGTCTCCTCTGGTTSAAAGTGAACATCAATGAACTATGACATTTCATTAATATTGTAACATACGTCTGTTATTTATTTTATTTCTTATTGTGAAGCGCCATGAATTTTGATATGTGCGCTATATAAGTTCCATTATTATTATTATTATTATCATTATTATTATTATTATTAGCTCAATATTCTATCTCAGAAAGAGCAGAACATAATAGGAAACAATCAACAAAACAAAACAAAACAAAACAAAACAAAACAAAACAAAACAAAAACAAAAACAAAAACAAAAACGAAAAAGACAGTCCAAAACAGAACGGAAACCGTAAGCGCAAAAAAGCATCAAAACATTTCCATTTTGGAGTCCATTTTGACACAACAGCTTGCTTTTTAAAAGCAGGAGAGGGCCGTTCACGAGACCCAGTAGTGTAAATCGCCTATTAGAGAATACAATTTCTTACTTTTTTCCAATTGCCGCTGTAAATTCCACATCTGTAACTCAGGTCCATGAGCATATGTACAACGTTTGCACGTTTCCCCTTTTCGATAGCCAGAACAATAGTTGATAGTGGTCGTCTTAGCAATGGTTGGTGGGATGTTTCTCACTTTTGTCCACTTCTTGAGTACAGTGCTCCAATACGCATATACACATTCTGATTCGCATCCTTGGCACACGTCAGGCGTCCTGCTTGTCTCATGATGATGACAAATAACGTTTACGCCTTTAGGTAGTTTAAAAGTGTTTTCTTTCTTTTTCCTTATCCTTTGTCTGTTGACGGTCTCCAAAGAATCTTCAGTTGATGCTTTCGAAGTGCTGTCCGTCTGAGAAGACCTTGGTACGATATTTCAATTATAATGCACAAGTCAATACCAGTTTTCAATTAGTGAAATACCGCTGTCTTCTTTGATTACAGACTCATTTACACAGGGGTTAGCCTCATTTCAGTTTCCAATTATTCACAAATACCCGACGGTAAAATAAAGAATGCACAAGTTGAACAATTCAAATACTTTCAGATTCCAAGGACTTTCACTGGAATACATGAATATTCCAAGTAATTCCCGATACGAAATCGAGGCGCACCCTGTACAATAGAGAACTCGAAACTGCCCAAGGGTATTGAAACTCACTAGCCCCGATCCCAGGGATGCGTTGGAAAATCAGTTTACAGTCAAAACGACTCAAGCTTATTACCCCCCTAGGTGCCATTAATGGTTTCAGTATTCGAATATTGAAATTTAATATTCTTTCTCAGTGAGATTACCAAGACTCAGGATTCGCCTATCACGTGAAGAGGTCGATCCTCAAAATAGAGGGTTTTCACGTGACGTCACAGCGGCCATTATGGGGTACCAAAACAATACATTTTCTATGGTCCGTGAATTGAACCCTATTTTTATGCAAATACTGTGCAGAAAGTTTCTATTGTTTATAGCTGCCTTCTCACGTGAGTGAAAACGCTCTATAAAGTAATCCTAACGAGAAAATATGGCGCCGATACGAATGACGACCGGCATTTTTGTTACCAGACTCCACTCATCATTGGATAATAAGTAGAGTCTGAGTACGAGAATGCGCTTTCCGCGTCCTTTCCTCCCGCTTTCCCGTTCATTTGCCACAGGTAACGAAGGATATCCTCTTTTATAAGGAAATGCATGTAGTAAATAAGTTTTGCTATTATTTTATAGGTTTCGCTAAGATTTTGAAAATAAAACGTCGTGAGTATATAAAAACTCAAAAGTGCACTTACCGTTTTATATTAAAAGTTTTCGATTTTTAAAAGCGTTTTTTTAGCGATTTTACAGTCAAACCACCTCAAGCGTGAACACGTACTAGGTCGTAAATGACTTTATTTTTGGATTCTTGATTTCATTATTCGATTCGAACATTCACTATTGAAAGCGAATCTTCAAAGCCTGGCATATACAAAAGCCAAGCATATATGCAACTGAAATGCAAAAACAACTTTTTATGCAAGGAATATGTAATATTAATGACTACAAGCCAAGTTAATCGAATTTTCAAATTATTATTATTTTTTGAATATTGAAGATTCGTTTTCATTAATGAATCTTCGAATCGAATATTGAAATCAAGAATCAAAAAATAAAGTCATTAATGACCTCTACGTGTTCACGATTGAGGTGGTTTGACTGTAAGTACCACCTCCACTTCTCTAATAGATTTTCCATTAATAAAGTGCAGTCAAAACTACCTACCCATGTCCAAACTGAAAGTTTGGTGGATTCTGTGCCATCTTCGACCTTTAATACACACGTTTTACATGGTTAACTAGAGATGTTGTTGAAACCCATCTTGCGTGACCCTTGTCAGTTCGATCCTTCGCATAAACTGGTGAAAAAAGGAAGTTTTCGATCAGTTTTGTCCTAGCGGTAAATAATGATAAGATATTTCACTCAGAATAAGCTTCGGCAAAAAAAAATAACGTCTATAAAGCATTCCTAAACCTTCTCTTACACACAAACTTAAATATGTATAGTATTTATATACTTTCTATAACGTCAGACTTCCGTTATATTGCAGTACTCGCAAAACGTTTCAAAACCCAATCTTAAACGAGATAAAAAATATTTTTTATCACGTTTTTATCACTAATTATAAATTGCACTGTGTATCATGTTTCGTAGACCGTTGTCATAAGCTTACATTCGAAATTGCTTCAGGAAAATACGAAGTGAACTCGTAACAGAATCAATCGGATCACTTACAGTTAACTTTAGACGCTCAGCTGAGGAAAACCAACTCTCTTGAGACCGTTTTCAAATGCAAGTTTTATCCAAAAACACACATAAAGATAATAAACATGTGTCAGAGAAATGACGTGTTTACAAATATGAAATTCCTGTCGAACATGAAATTCCTTGAAATAGTCAAATTTTCTTCCTCGATTCCTAGAAAAGTGCATACATTACCCGGGTACAACTGAACAATAACACAGGAAGCCCAAACATTGTATAATCATCTTAGTTCTTAATTCCTATCATATTTTATAGTTCCACAAATGGGAGAAAAATTGACTGTCGTATCTTTTTGCGTGATGTTCAGGTCTATTTATATGATTTCCACTTCATTGAACAGACACGTCTGAGTTTTATTTTAATTCTAATATTTCTTCTAAAACTAGCAGAGGGTAGTTCTGTTGTGTCTAGCTTGAAGCTGAATGAAGCTGAATATCATCATGGAATGAATAGACCCATCAAAAACCTGTTTCATCATTATCATACTCAACTCTAATTGACTGCGATAGGATTTAGGGCTAAGATAGGCTTGCAGTTGTTCAGTGCGAACTCCGACAAACCATCTCTGCCTAAACTGGGCCAACATTTATTTTTATAAGAAGAGTGGCCAGGTGAGGCCGGACTGACAAACGATACGTTTTGCTTGAGTACTGATGACGTCATTGATGCTGAAGAATTGTAAACAAGTAGAAAAAAAATAACCATTTGCTATTATCGTTGAAGTACGACCCGTTTGCTGTCTCGCTCGCCTGACTAGCCATTTCAACGACAGCCACCAGAACGCTGCATTAAAAAACAACAACAATTTCTTGAGGGGGGTTTTAGACTGACTTAAAGATCTTAATCTCCTATTGAAAATGGAAAATATCCCCCCATTTATTGCAGTTCTGTGATTGACCGTCGCTGAAATACCGAGTCGACTAACATCAAACTTCGCGGGGTCGCACTTAAACGACAGCGCTTCTCAATCACGCGCTTGAAATCGTACAATTTGCCATCGTGACGAAGTAGCTTTTGGTGGACGTCAATCAATGCGTTTCCATGACATTCCATTGGCAACAGGCGTCCTTAATTCCCGATAATACTGGGAAACACTTTGATTGGCGTCCACCAAAACTCTATTATGGCTCGAAATTTTTCTTCACGATTTCGCGCGTGTGATTGAGAA